GATATAGTCCAGTCAAATTAGCACAATTTTGGACAAATAAAAACATTAATTGGTAAAGATCTGAATTTTGGTATACACATTTATTGGGACTTTCTATTGAACATACTAAAAGTCCCTGTCAAAATCTGTTGCGCTCGAGACGCCATCTTGGAAAAACGGTACACTTTTCCAGTTTTTTGCCCATATCTCTGCAATTATTACTGACACGAAGAAATAGTTTACATGAAAAATATAGTTTACTAAATTCCCTATAAAAAAGAGTATTTACATTTTTTTTGTATCTCCAATACTTTAGCTGTAATCTCATGTTGAATACGTCAGAACGCGTTTAAGCCCCGTATCGTAGTTATAGAAGGAGGCCGTCTTTTTTATGACTACACCGATAGCTGTAACAGAGCCAAAAAATGAACAGAATTGTCGTGCGATAAAGCATTCTAGCAATGACATAATGTTTGATGATACATCATGTTTTTTTCAAAAAGGTAAGCGAAAATGTGTAAAAGTGTTGAGCAACGAAATGATTTCTGAAGCTGAAGAACGCCCTTATCTGCATAAGTATAACGTGCCTGCTAGTGAGAGATATTAAAACCGACATCGTTATCAGACCTTCAGAATTACCTTGACCCTGTTCGGACTGCACTGAAGGCTCCCAGTCCACACTCAGTGCTCACATTGAAGATGAAAGTTCTATTGAGAGAGAGTTTTATGAGAAACCTTTAAACGTGTCTCATACCAAGCTTGAGTGCGACGACTTCGCATATATAAGAAATACTGGTAGAATTTTCAATGAATTTAATGATTTGTAAAAAGCTGTAAAAAAATATCTGCGCGACTGTTTCGAGAGCTCAGGATACTTGATTCCCTATTCGATGTCGGATTATAGCTAAAGTATTGGACATACAAAAAAATGTTAATATGCTTTTTTGTGGGCAATTTAATAAACTATATTTTTTATCTGAACTATTTTTCCGTATCGATAATTGTTGCCGATATATAGGCAAGAAACTGAAAAAGTGCTCCTTTTTTCCAGGATGGCGCCTCGAGCGCAACAGATTTTGACGGGGACTTTTAGTATGTCCAATAGGGAACACTAATGAAAATGTGTACCAAAATTCAGATCTTTACCGATTAATGTTTTTATTTTTTCTTATTTGACTGGACTATAATGGGTCAAAAATGAATTTCCGTAGTTTATTCGAAGTAAGTCAACTAAAAAAAAACAGAAATTATAGCAAAGCAGGTAGTTTATTGTACAAGGCACTTAGAGAGTTTTCAGATTTATATCGGACCCTGTGCATATGGCGCTTCTTTGTTGATGTACATATAATAAGCGCAAGAATCTTTCTCGAACGTTACGTCCTCACCCATGACCGCCTTACTTCCACCCATAGGATTGGCAATGCAACCGGTGCACATCAGACAGCTTTTGGCATTAAACCTATTGGAACTTAAACTTTCGATCATATAGTCTACAGCTCGCAAATGACTACACGCAGCTAAAAATCGAACAAATTGTAACCTCTTGGCCATGTATAGGTACATTTAATAACGTACCAGGATAAAGTAGTGCATTTAGCGGATTGCTACTAGGTGAATCAAAAATAGAACATCCCGACTGAATAGCTCCAAAATCGGGATAAAAGTCGACAGTACCACAATTTCCAACATAGCCCAGTATTCCCATATTTGTGTGGATCACCATGACGAGTTTAGCATCAGACGCATCCAATCGGGAATCAGCGCCCCTTAAAGTGTACAGTGGACCAGCTGGATCCAATGCGCTAATTCTTCCCAGTATCTTTGAGCACTGGGCTTTAGTTTCTTGTCCAATTAAACCTGCCAGTTGACCACCCATCGAATGTCCCACCATGTGCAGGTCTCGAATTTCGATGTTGTGCTCATAATCAGCTTTGCATAAAAATTGCGCAACAGTTTGAGCAATTCGTGGTAAGTTACAGTACACGTTAGCGTAGTAATCCTTTGAGTATGCCGACCAATCGATCGCGATTACGTTTGCGTCGTACCGCTTCAGGTACGCGTCCTTCAGTTCCGGCATGAGATTGTTGTTGTGACTGCAAAGGAACCCGTGCGATGTTAGAATTGTTTTTCTGCCTTTCAATATTGACGTATCAATGTCTCGTACATTTCGACCGGTCGGTGGACCATCTCTAGTATACAACCACATATCTACCTTTGACCCATCATAAGATATCTCCGAGCACTCATTAAATTCATTCAACAGGTTCCCAGCAAGCAGACTCGCCACCTCCCCGACAATCGAATTTGGTAGATCGTCCAGAGTGAAATTATAAGAGCACAAAGCTGAAAAAGAAGCGACGTGACTAACAAGAAAGTGAAGCAATGGGTTTACCTCCTGTGGAATAATGGATAAAACTGCATAGTAGCGCTGAAACGAAAAGAATCGCCATTTTTACTGGTTCAAGCCTTCAAGGGCTACTCACGCGTGATTTTGAATTACTCCTTTATGTAGACATTCTAATCAACAAGCGGGCCCAATATCAAGATGTAATCTAAAAAAAACATTATATGCAATCAGATAATTTTAATTAAGCATTACCTGGATTGTATTGTTCCGAAACAATGGTGTTTATCAAGGGAAATTGGTATACCTACACTTGGTAAGATAGGGCCGCCGAAATATGGTGATAGCTAGGTATAACCTTCCATGTGCATTGTGTTGTGTATGTCGGCTAAATATACCCTACTTGCAGTTAAAAAACTGGAATTATCTCTTCTAATTCTCAACCGAATAGTTGTAGCCTAAAGGGCTTCATTTTTACACGAGTCAAGATAGTTCAAATTTTCGGTAAACCTAGACAAAAGTAATATAAAGCTAATTTTTGGTACAGATCATAATTTAGGGCTAAATAGTTATACAGGGTGGTGACTTGCGTCACGCATCATAGGGATTTCAATGTAAAATTCATAACATGCGATTATTGGCTCCCCAAATTATTTTAGAGCAAAAATGTATTAAGGTTTTTTGTAGAAAAAATTTTTTTACGTCAATAAACCCTATTAGTTTTCAATTTTTTACATAATAAAGACGGAAAATTGGAAAAATAAAACCCGCATCTTTTTCAATAATCTGCGATGCCATGGAATTTTCTAAAACAAAAAGATGTCCAGTTATCAATTAGCAGCAGTTCGAAATGGATTTTATGATCGACTTGGTTATTGCCTTACAGTTAATGGTGACTTATTCGAACATTTATTGTAAATTGTTATGTTAGGAAACCATTTTTAGTAATTTGATCTTTCTTTATGTTGAATTCGCTGTTCTAAATATAATACTTTTTGATAGAATTTGATTTGTTTTATAGCAGACATTCCATGGCATGACGGATATTGTAGTTTTTGTATTATAAAATTCCATGGCATCACAGATTATTGAAAAAGATGCGGGGGTTATTTTCCCAATTTTCTGTCTTCATTATGTAAAAAATTGGAAACTAACGCGGTTGATTGACGTAAAAAATTGTTGTCTATAAAAACCTTAATACATTTTTGCTCTAAAATAATTTGGGGAACCAATAATGGCATGTTATGAATTTTACATTGAAATCCCTATGATGCGCGACGCAAGTCACCACCCTGTATACTAAAAGTCATCCACCTTCGGCAACCCCCTCTCTTCGTCCCTCACCCCTCTCCCGTTAATAGCTGAGTGACTTTCTCGAAAACTATCAACTTTACGGAAAAATATCAAGTGTAGTACACACCTGTGGCGTATCAAAGCAAGTATTCTCCGAGATTAATTGAAATTTCTTTAAGGGCCTTTGAATTTACTGCTTTTAACCAAAAACTATAAGCTTACCGGAAAATATTTATTTATTTTTTATTTTATTTTATTGTCTTTATTTTATAGTGGGCGGAGCGTTAGCTAATTAGCTACTCTTCCTACTCAACCCACTACACAATCACAAACAGCAATGCCTTACCTGGGATTCTAACCCAGGACCCTTGTAGTCAAAGTTACAGCTACTAACG